GTAACTGCTGTGGGGAGAGGGAGAGGAGGAAAGGGCTGGAGACGGTGCTATGTGCCGCCCCTGCCTCCCACCTCCCCAGTCCCTCTTCCTTTGAATCTCCACCTAGACTCTGGTGCTTGGGGGATGTCACCGCACAGCCTTCAGTCTTCTCCTGCCGAGTGAGGCCTGGCATGGGGACGGGTTGCTCTGCCACCTCAGGGTGTTGTTTTATGGGAGGCCTGGGCCAGAGGCTGGCCTGGGTCTTGCCTCTTTCACCGGGTGGGAGCCCCTGCCCTGCCATGGTGCCCAGGGGCCTTCGGGGACCCCAGAATATATCCTCAAAATGTCCTGTGCCCATACCTCCTTTTCAGCTAGAAGAACTCAGATCAGTGTAGCTCATGGTGGTTCATGGTGAATGCAGCTCAGGGCAGGCTCAGAGCGCCAGGTGATGGGGCTAAGTGGGCTGAGCAGCCCGGAGCATGTTTGTTGAAGGGTAGGAAACTCATGTTAATGAGTATCAAACAGATGAAGAACACTTTTCACATGATGGATTCTTTCCTTGCTACTGCTTAGAATCTGGTTAACTTTTCCGCAAACGCTGTAGACATTCTTGGCTTCTCAGCTTGGAGAGCAGGTGGCCTTCAGTCCTCAGAAAACCCTGTCCTGGATGATAGTGTTGGAGGCTTCTCTCTCCCTCCTTCCTCTTTCCATCTTTCTCTCCGAGGCAGCGGCAGTGGAAGTGCCCACCTAGGATGGGCGTGAGGCCCGGGGCAGGGCTGGGTGCCGTGCAGCCTCAGCAGCTCTGATGGGCCTGCTGCAGAGCCACTCAGAATCCTTTGGGTGCCGCGGTTGTGCTCTCCCAGGCACAGTCCTGACCAGGAGCGGAGGCGACCTTCATCTCCCGGGCAGGATGCATGCGGTTTTCTGCCATCCCCGAGAGCATGTGACGCCTGGGAAGCAGTGGCCTGGAGGTGATTCACCCGGGGGAGTGGGGCCTAGAAAACAATGTCTGTCTTGAAGCTCTGGGAACCAGGAAAATGAGCTGGAAATGTGAGTAATGTATAATTTTACTAAAATTAACCAGCCAGTTCTCTGGGCCTTGTCTCGCTGTGTTTTCAGCGTCTTTGTCTGACTGTGGTGCCCACTGCAGTGTGTCCCATGGACTGTCTTTCTGGTTAGTGTGCCTGGAAGTCCCCTTCTCCCCACTGCCTTGCGTAGGGTGGGCGCACAGCGGGGCCGTGGGAGCACAGATTTAGGTGCAGGCTGCCCCATCCTCACCTCTGCCCTGGCAGCTGGTGGCCCTGGCATCCCTCTCCTCTGTAATGTAGTCTCATAGTCATGCTTGGATTTCCTGAGGTGCAGCTGAGTCATCCATGTGACGGTGCTGTGCCCCAGGACGTAAGGTGCGAGGGGTGGGCAACGCCTTATGTACCACGACCTTGGTTTTGGCTGTGGACAGACACTGCCTGAGCTTCAGGCTGCTCCTCCTTACCACCCGGGGGTGTCTTCATCCTTGGACTTCTGCAGCCCTGTGCCAGCTCCCATGGCGGCGCCACCTCACCTGGAGCTGGGGAGCTGCAGCTCCTCCCGGGCCCTTCTGTCCCTGCTAGATTGTAGGCCCATGAGAAGGCAGGGCTGTGGCTTCCTTTCTGTAAACTCCACAGAAGAAGGATGCAGCTAGCACTGGTTGAATAAACAGAAGTCTAAATTGAGAGACAGACTGTGTCTGAGGCGCTCATGAATCCATGACCTGAGCCCCCAGGTCTGTGCTCTTCATGAGGTAGCCCAGGGAAGCATCAGCAGGGAAGACATTCACTCATGTTAAAAAAGAAATTGTATCTTTATCTGAATTTAGAAGGGAGCGGGATGCTGAACGTGAGTGTGTGTGGTGACACGGATGAACTGAGTGTTCAGGAACCAAAGCCCTGTTTAGGTAGAAGCCAGAGGATCTCAGGCTTGCTTGTCCGTTCAGTGGAAGGTTCTTCAGTGACGTCTGGGATCGTAACCCTTGAAGCATTCATTGCAGAAACCTGTGCTGTCTTCTGAATCGCCACAGACAGATGACATATGGACAGGCTGGTTTCAGTATAAACTTTATTATTATTATTTTTTTAATGTTTGGAAAATTGCCAGGGTGTGTGTGGCACAGGTGAAACCTACTGTCTAGACTCTGGCCAGAACGTTGTCTTCCGTGTTTGTCTTAATGGGCTGAACGTTTATTCCCTAATTGCTTTTAAGACATTTTGTGTCATCAGCCAGAGAATAAAAGAAAAAAAAAAAAAAAAACTGCGTAAAGGAATGCTGGGTCCTGTCCAGCTACGCACCCTATAATCAGTATACGTGGCTTAGGACTGCTGGGGTTCTCGTAGCACTCACTGATGGTTGCAGTGCGCGCCATGATTGTTTTCATTTGTGGTGCTGTTCATCCCTCATTTAGAGCCCTGTGGGTGGATCTTACTATGACCACATGGTTGCATGAGGACGCCGAGGCTCGGAATGCCTCAGGGGCACTAAGTGGCAAGCTGAGTGTGTGCCCCGTGCTAGAGATGGCACAGTGACATCATGACGTCACAGCCGAGGCTGCACTCAGGCCCTCTCGTGCTTCTGCTGAGCCCTTAACAGCTCACCAATTGGGCTGCAGAGTCCATCTGAAGGCTTGGACACACTTCCAGTTGAGTCCTCAGCCCTCCAGCTCTCCACCACTCTGCCCATCCACAGTTCCCCTCCATAATACCTGCCTTTCTTATCCCGTCACCCATGTGCAGTTTCTCTTCATTCACTCACTAAGTCACTCTGCACCGAAGGCAGCAAGGGTAATGAGATAGGTGGGACTCAGCTAGCACCCTCGGAGGCTCCTGCGTGTGGGGAGGGGCGGGTGCCTAGATGAAGAGACCATTGACGGTGGGTAATGGGTTCTATATTCAAGGTTTGCACGGGGCGCTTCGGGATTCAGAACACTGCAGCTGTGGTTGGTAGTGCAGGACCAGGGAGGAGGGAGGCTGGAGCAGCACCACATGTACACAGCCACAGAGGCATAGAGTGGCTGTGTCTTATTTGAGCAATGGCATATAGACGGTTGGAACTATGGAGCACAACATTTGGAGGTGTGGAGCCAGAAGTGAGGATGGGAAGGTGGCCAGGGCCAGAGGCCACCATAGCCAGTGCTGAGCTGCTAAAAACGTTTACTAAGGACTGGATGTGGTTGGATTTGCCTTATAAAGAGGCTGCTCTGGAATGGATATAAGCAAAGCAGAAAATCTGAATAAGGCTGGTAGTTGTCTCATTGTCAATATCCTGGTTGTGATATTGTACTGTATTTTACAAGACATCACTATCGGGGGAGTCAGGGTCAAGGGTGCATGGGATGGTCCATGTTGTTTCTTACAACTGCAAGTTAATCTACAATATCAGAAAGGTATGACTGTCACATGCGCGTGTGTGTGTGTGTGTGTGTGTGTGTGTGTGTGTGTGTGTGTGTGTGTGTGTGTGTGTGACATATTCAGCCAGTCCGGGAGCGGGGCTTCTTCACCAGGGCAAGCTCAGGCTTTTCTGCTGAAGACAGGTGACTGCCTGCAGACTCTGAAAATACTTTGTTCCTTAAAGAAAATTCACTGAATTTTACAAGACATCACTATCGGGGGAGTCAGGGTCAAGGGTGCATGGGATGGTCCATGTTGTTTCTTACAACTGCAAGTTAATCTACAATATCAGAAAGGTATGACTGTCACATGCGCGTGTGTGTGTGTGTGTGTGTGTGTGTGTGTGTGTGTGTGTGTGTGTGTGTGACATATTCAGCCAGTCCGGGAGCGGGGCTGTGGCTGTTCTTCACCAGGGCAAGCTCAGGCTTTTCTGCTGAAGACAGGTGACTGCCTGCAGACTCTGAAAATACTTTGTTCCTTAAAGAAAATTCACTGAAATCATGATTCACACATTTTTCTCGAAAAGACCAGCTTATTATGGAAAAAGATTACTCTGTCAGTGGAGGACGTGGTGGATTCAAGGGGCAAGACCCAAGGCAGAGGGAATTGTAGGACCCCTAAAATCTGTGGCATCAGAGCAGATGCTGCCACGGGTCGGCTAGCAGCCTGAGCTGGTTGTTCACCCGTCTGAGTCTTGGGGTTCTCATCTGGAAAGGGGGAGGTGGTGGCATTGCCTGCTTAGTGCTGTAAAGTGGGGAGGATGGACCAGGGCTGGCTGTGCCTTACTTGTGTGGGGGGGTCAGTGTCTAATAGACAAAACACATCACAACACCTTCAGACTAACACATCGGATGGAGGCAGTGCCTACTGTCTCACCTGGATTCCATGTGGCATCGCCTGAGTGCTCAGCACATGCCCGGGGCTAGTGATGGACCTTCTGGAAGCAGGTCACTCTTGCTGGTGGGTCCTGGACGGGAGAGCTGTGCACTGGCTCTCCCTGTTCTCCTGACCGGAGAGTAGTGTACCAGGAGCACCAGGGCAGATGCTGCCACGTGTTGGCGAGCAGCCTGAGCTGGTTATTCCACCAGTCTGACTTCTCGGAGTTCTCGTCTGGAAAGCAGGTGATGATGGCATTGCCTGCTTAGTGCTGTTGGGAAGATGGGTAAGCAGTACCACGGAGGCTTAGAACAGGGCCTGGCGTGTAGGGTGCAGCTGGTGACTGGATCGTCAGTGTCTCCGTCCTGTCTAAATGGCAGGTCCTTATCAAACCAGCTTGGCCTCCAGCTCTCCATGCTCCAAGGGAGTGGAGATTATTATAGAATTATAGAATTATTATAGAAGTGAACAGAGAGTTGGGGGCTCCATCTTCTGTGGAGCTGGCTTTGGGCTCCACTGGCAGCAGCACCCCCCGCACCCAAAGGCTTTGGTGTTGGGCTGACCGGGGCTGGCAGCTGGCTGTTCACTGTGCTCCCGGACCATGCAACCTGAGCTTCAGGGTAAAAAAACAAGTGACATGGAGGGCCTGGCACACAGACACTCTCCCTTTTGCCTTTCAGAAAATTGCCAGGGATTCTCCTCTGAGCGTTCATTCCTCTTTTTCAGGAACAAGACTGCCAATGGAGACTGCCGCAAAGACCCACGGGAGCGGAGCCGCAGCCCCATCGAGCGCGCCGTGGCTCCTACTGTGAGCCTGCACGGCAGCCACCTGTACACGTCCCTCCCCAGCCTTGGCCTGGAGCAGCCCCTCGCACTGACCAAGAACAGCCTGGACGCTGGCAGGCAGGCCGGCCTCTCACCCACACTGACCCCAGGGGAGCGGCAGCAGGTGGGCCTCTGTCCGGGAGGGTGGCTGGGGGAGTCCAGGGGCCTGGGGACTAAGCTGCATGGAGAGTCCCGAGCAGAGGACCCCGAGGGCAGTAGTGAGGGATGCCACCCTTAGCTTCTGTTATGCACTTAGGACAATGGACAGCAGAACAGGAGTCCTCCTCTTCTCCTTTTACTTCCTACCCAGACCTGCCCGGGCCTTTCTTAGCACTCACGGCCTCGGACAAGGTCAGTGTCACTGGGGCTTCATCTCTTTCCTTCCACAGTACAGGTGGTGCACGGAGGTGTTTTCACCGCAGTCTTCTGTGGCAGGCCTGTTTTTCTTAGGGTCAGTGTACTCATCCTCATGGGAGTCCTATGTTTCTCCATTAGAAGGTCACTCGGATGAAGGGAATTGTCAGGTTGCTTTCTTTGCCTTGAGCTGAGGTCCTGCACAGTTGATGCTAACAGGGTTGTGAGCCCATGCCGGTCAGAAGCCTATGATTGGCACATACGGATTTTTTTTCTATTAAAGGAACATAGGGAATTAAATGATGACTTAGTAAACACAGTTTGCTTGGTAGAAACCAATCTTTTTAAAATTGGGGTTCCTGGGGAAATGTATAGGAGGCGGCAGGCTCCGAACCCTGCCTGAGCTCTCTGAACCCCCTGGGCCTGCGACCTAATAGGTCCTTAGTCAGTAATCAGCATTTTCTTAAGGCTGACAGAGAGGATGGTGCTGGGCCCCAAGGGAGTGCCTGCAGCTCTGTGCATTCAGCTGTGAGGGCCTCTGTGTCCCTGCAGCACCCCCAGGGCTTCCCTCTGAGCAGGGATCTGTTACAACTGTGGGTGGGGAGGCCCTGGGAGTTGAGAGGTGGTTCTAGTGCTTGGGAATCCCAGTGAAGCTGAGAACAGTTGCCCATCCTGCCTTGGAGCCTGACATGGTAATCCTGCTTTTTCGATTCATTCATTTAACAAAATGGCATAGACCCTATTGTGTGCTGGGGGTACCAGAAGCCTGTCAAGCAAGATGCAGTCTTTGCTCCCAGCACATTCCGTTTTAGTCTTCAGGAGAGACCACTGATGTGTCTGATGGAACCTGGGGCCGAGTTACCACTGCTTTTCATTTCAGTGTTTTATCAGCCCTCTGTGGAGTGGAGCTCTGGGCAGCCAGAGGTGTGTGTAGACACTGTCACGGCCACAGGGAGCTCCCAGTCTAGCTGGGAAAATGGATGTGAGGAGAGAGGATTGTACTCCTGGGCAGCAGCAGGGGCCAGAGCAGAGGCGTGTGGGCAGTGGGACCCACAGGCCCGCTCACTGCACCTGGGGTGGGCAGTGGACATGCTTTCTGCTTTGTGAAGCTCAACAGGTATTGTAATGATGCCACAAGCCATGGCCTGGATCGTGCAGGTGGAACTTGGCTCTCCGGCCATTGCCACTGCTGTTGGGAAGTCTCTGAAGGACAGGGGTATGGAGGGGAGGATTCAGCTGTAATCTCAGAGCACCCATGTCCAGCCTCTGGGCCTTGGTGCCCCGTGCGCTGTCTCGGCCGCAGGGTCAGGGTGGCCCTCGGCGGGCTTAGTGTTTTCTTGGATGATTTATTTCCCTAGCTCTGGAAGCCTTTTGAGAATCTTGCCCTTGGTTTTCGGTCAACCGTTGCTTTGCAGAAGCTGAACTGCTGGACAGAGCAGCCTGGTTATCTTTACCCTGTCTCTCCTTCTCCTCAGCCTGGAATGGGCCTGGCTGCCCACAGCACATGTGGCAAGGGCCCCTCCTCATGCCTCAGGGCTCCTGAGCAGCTTTCCTAGGAGGGAGAACTTTGACTCCCCAGCTGTGTCCTTGCAGGATCCTGGCTTGGACTGAGGACAGAGCCAGAACCCCAGGCTGCCTGTTTTCCTGGGAAGGGCACAGTGGGCCCAACCAGAGCTGTCATTTTAGGCTGGGGTTGGTGGGGAAGAGGGGGTCAATCCTGCCCTCCTTGGCTGCTGTCAGTGCGTCATTCATGTTGTGACCATTCATGGGGCTCCTTCCTGCCGTAGCATGGTGGGGCCGGGGCCACACACTCCAACCCAAGCTGGGCTTAGGCGCCCTGCTGAGGACACCAAGCAGCTGCATTGCCTGCGCTGCAGCAGCTCCAAGACCCTTTGCCGGGAGTCTGTTGGGTGTCATTCTGCAGCTCAGAGCCAGAGAAGTGGCGGTGGGGAGAGGGCTTCCTGTGGTGACAGCAAAGCTCTGTGTCCACAGCAGGGCAAAACGCATGCTATAGCCCTGTGGGGTGCACATGGAAGCCTTCTTATGTGCAGTGGAAACTGTAACTCAGATCTCTGGGAACCGGGACAGGACAGCACTTTGGGAGGCCGAGGTGGGCAGATCACTTAAGGTCAGGAGTTCAAGACCAGCCTGACCAACATGGTGAAACCTCTTCTCTACTAAAAGTACAAAAATTAGCCAGGTGTTGTGGTAGGCACCTGTAATCCCAGCGACTCGGGAGGCTGACAGGAGAATCGATTGAACCTGGGAGGCAGAGGTTGCAGTAAGCCAAGATCGCCACCATTGCACTCTAGCCTGGGTAACAGAGTCAGACCCTGTCTCAAAAAAAAGCTTCACACAGCAAGCCTCGGGGGTTGCTTTCAGATAGGAAAGGTGGGACCTCTCTCCTGCAGGGTAGCCTCCGAGGACAGTGAAGGTGGGTGGGGCAGTGGGTGAAGGGGTTAGAACAGGGCTTATCCCGACCCTGCCACAAATCTGCAACATAACTTCCAGCAGGGTGTTTCTGGTCTTCATTTTCCCCATCTGGAAAATACTGGTGTAGGGGAGGGGGGTCTCAAGATGTCATAAACGCTCACCGTCTGGAGGCCTGGGGCCTGTTCTAGGTGGTCGAGTCCCAGCCTGCACTCAACCACAGAGGCAGGGGCAAGATGGCTGACCCCACGTGGGAAGGGGTGGCAGTGGAGCCACTCCCAGGAGAACTCATGGGCCACCCTGTGGCCTGGGTTGTGGGAGGAGAGGATGCCCAGGCACTGAGCATCTTCACATCTGCAGGTGACAGGCTAAGGAGATTTACCCAGTTCAGGTCAGCAGGTGCCCTGAAGGTACCCTGATACCAGTCAGCCAGCCTGCCCTGCTGGTCCCTTGCCAGAGAGGGGGCACAGTCTCTTTTGAAGTGGCCTTTCCTGCCTTGGGATAGACTGACGTAAAGGCTGGACAGTGAGCTCACTTCATCTTCCTTGATTCGCCCTCCCCCACTTGAAACGTCTCCCCAGTTCCCCACATTTGCATGGGTCAGGACATGCTTGCTGCAAAGAACAAGCCAGCTGAGCACAAAAGGAAGGGAGTTTTACTGGGAGGACCCTAGGGTGTCTTCCGGAGCCCAAGGTCATGGGTGCAGCTGGGCTCAGGAAGAGCCTGGCCATCCCACTGAGAGCTGGACAGGGGCAGGGCCCTCCTTCCTCCCGGCTCTGTTCGTGTCCAGGTCTTGGTGGGCATCCTGCTCTCTTGATGCTGCTTGCCCCGTGGTCAGCCCAGTGTGAAATCTGCTGAGGCCTCATCTCAGTCTCCAACCCCTTTTCCCACCCTGTCTGCTCAGCACCGTGAAGGCCCTCGCCTGAGGCACGGTCCACAGGCAGAGCGTGGACATTCAGCCCAGCTCCACCTGCACGGGTTCTCTGCACCGCCACCTGTGCACACCACAGAGGGCCTATGACCTCTGGGCAGCTCTGTCCTGATGCTAAAGTGTTGCGCTACTAAGAAACCCTGAATGTTTGGTTTGTCTGCTGCTGCTAAGCCGCATCTCTCCCCACCCTGGCTTGTGTAATTTTTTGTTAGACTTAAGCACAGACCCTTATGTTTAATCCCAGTTCATCTTTGTAGATCCACATTTTCATCCTAGAATCCATTTTCATCATTCCCATTAACTGCCATCTCAAGGAGAACTGGCATGCAAGCCTTTTGTGTCTTTATACCAGCTACTGCTCTGACTTTAATGGAAAGGGCTAGCTGGGGAGGACAAGGCCTGGCGTCCCTCTGGCTGACACTGCTGTCACCATTGGTCACTGTGGGGTGATTTCAACCAACTCCTCACTGGCCATCCTAGAACTTAGCCCACATATTCCTCTGCCTTGTCCTCAGCTGGTATCGGGAAATACCTTTCCTGGGGGAACCTGAGGAAGCTGTTTAGTTCACAAGTATTTTCTGCCCCAGATTCTGCACCAAGGCTGGGGGGCTAGACATACTACCTAGTGTGCATGGTCTTGTGGGAGCACCTGGACAGACTGATGCACTTGCTGAATTTTGGTGGATTGGGGGAGCAGGAGTGAAAGGAGGGAGTAGCCAGTGAAAGGCTTCACAGAGATCTGAACAGGGCCTGAAGGAAAAGGGGAGTTTGCCAGGCAGACAGCATGGGGGTGATGAGGAAGGAGAGTGCGGTCGTGCGCCGGGCAGATTGGGCTGGGCTGGGATGTGTGCCTTTCTACACTTAGGCGCATTTCCTCTGTTCCCTCTCTGTCCTGATTTGTCGGTCGTCACTGAAGCCAACTCAAGCTGGCTTTGGCTCAAACAAAATGCTTCCAATTAATTGCCGTGCATTGAAGTGTCCTGGATGGCTTCAGGCACACCCACGGCTCCGTGGACATGATGGGAAAGGCTCTGGGGACAGTAACGGGAGGAGCGAGGTCCCTCCTGCAACCCTCTGCCGTCCACAGGACGCCCAGTGTTTGTTGTCTCAAGGCAGATTTGAGAGAGGGGGACAGACCAAATCAACAGTTGAGCTTTTGTCCTTTGTACCCTCACTGATCCAAACAGCCAAAACCAAGGGCCACTACACACACCCTTGGAGCTGCGCTCCCTCTGTTGATTGGCTGTGTTTAGCAACGGGTCTCCAGTGTTGAGGCGGGAGGTAGCGGATGCAGTCAGGCAGGGCTCCAGGGGCGGTGCCCGGCACTGTGGTGGTCCTCACATGCTGACCCCCCCCCCCCCCCCCCCCCCCCCCCCCCCCCCCCCCCCCCCCCCCCCCCCCCCCCCCCCCCCCCCCCACAGAACCGGCCCTCCGTGATCACCTGCGCCTCAGCCGGCGCCCGCAACTGCAACCTCTCGCACTGCCCCGTTGTGCACAGTGGTTGTGCTGCGCCCGGCCCCGCCAGCTACCGGAGGCCACCGAGCGGTGAGTGTCCCAGGCTTCCTCACCAGTGGCAGCAGAGCCCTTCTGTTATGCTGTTGGCTGAAATCCTTTGTTCCTGAGCCCAGCTATTGCTGAGGTCGAAAGGAGCATTTTTTGAGCACATACAGTGTGTACCTAGCATTGCGCATGGCTTGGGTGGGAAGGGTGTGAGAAACATGCTGCCCCCTCCCCCACACTCCAGAATATCATGCTCTAGTTGCAGGGAGGGCAGCAGCTAATGTTATTTAAATGTAATGCTATGTTCTCTTTTTGAACTTAAACTCTGGCCTAGTGCAGATGGTATATAACCATTTTACAGAGAAGTGACCTGCCTAAGTGCCTGACTTAGGGGAGGTGGGCTGTTTGCAGAACCTACACTGACCATGGCAGCCAGTCCAGCTCTGGGCTGCCTGAGGGAGGGTGCTGCAGCCACCTGTGTCTGACTGCCTTCCTGCTTGCCTGCAGCCACCACCACCTGTGACCCCGTGGTGGAGGAGCATTTCCGCAGGAGCCTGGGCAAGAACTACAAGGAACCTGAGCCAGCACCCAACTCTGTGTCCATCACAGGCTCCGTGGATGACCACTTTGCCAAAGCTCTGGGTGACACGTGGCTCCAGATCAAAGCGGCCAAGGACGGAGCGTCCAGCAGCCCTGAGTCTGCCTCTCGAAGGGGCCAGCCCGCCAGCCCCTCTGCCCACATGGTCAGCCACAGTCACTCCCCCTCCGTGGTCTCCTGAAGGGAGCGCCTCCTCCAACACCACGTGGATGTGCATGGTTTGCCTGAGCTTTGAACAGTGCTTAAAAAAAAAGGGGGGGAGGGTGGGGGGAAGGGATGGTTTATTCGCAAAAACCATGTTGTTGGGATTTTTGTTGTTTTGTACTTGCTTGGTATCCGTATAGGGGGGCCCTCAAACATGACAGCAGGAACTACGTGTGGAACATCTGTCTAATGTAGCATCCTTACTTCCTGCCTCAGTTACCAAAGAAACCTCTGATGCAGGTCTGCTGCCCCGACGGGGCCAGGACTCCACAGCGCTTTCTCAGTCACAAGCCATGATGAATTGGTGACTCAGACGCTTTGTGCTTTTTCCTTTGCTTCTTGAGACCGGGGTGTGTGCAGCTCAGCTTCCACGGCGTGTTTGGTTCGGTCCGTGTGTGTGCGTGTGTATACTTGAAGAGAACTGTCGTGTCTGATTTGCACTATTGGAGGAGGACTAAAGTTGCCTGCCAACTTTGTGTGTGATGCCAGAACTCTGAGGGCAAACTGCTGAAAAACAAAGGGTTTAAGGATGACATTTCTGACCATTTGTGTTTGTTGTTACTGTTTTTTTTTTTTTTTTAAATCTAGACAATACAGCTTTGGAAGGGGAAGTCTCATACAGGTTATAGGTCTTTCTCTCTCTAGATTTCAGGTGCTTGCAACTGGACTGCAGACTCTACCAATCACGGGCATTTTACTTTCTCTGAACACTGCAGTTTGTTAGACTAGAGCTGAGGTTGGAGGATTCCATAGTGCTTTAAACGTGATGCATGTTTTAATGGAGAAAAAATAGCTGGTTTCTATTAATTATATAGGCAGTAAACAAAAACTTAATACTATCTTCTTGTCAGAATTAGTTTATTTTTGTCAGTTACAGTCCTAGATATACTTACTGCTGGTACAGTTGTACTCTAAGATTTGTATTTGATATTCACTTTACTCACAAGTAGTGCGGGAGGCCAGCTCCTGGCCGGCCCTCGCGATGAGCAGTGGTCAGCTGCGGTGTGGGATGCTGGAGTTGTGCTGCAGACTGACATCATTTATTTTTGCATCCCTGTCTGCTTTGTTATAAGCTCCCAGGGGAGGTGGGGTTTGTGTCTTCCAAATTCCCTACATGCAGAAACTGCTCCCTTTGGACTCTTGGCTGAACAGCAGATTACTGACAATCTGTGATAATAGTGTTTCTTATGCTTCCTCGTACGCTGGGGCCAAGGTAGTATACATTCCTCTGACTTTATACCGTTATTACTGCATTTATTATTCGCTATATTAATAGTTACTAACTAGAAATTAGATGAATCAAGCATGACAGACACAGTTGTGGAAGTCACAGCTGCTGCTCTTTTTGGTCAATGAGCGTTTCTATCCCCTCCACCAGGGTGTGCTATGTCCCACCTGGCCCACCAGAAGCTCACGCAGCCGCCACCTGACCAGGTGACACAGGCGTGGTCACCTCCCCTGCAAGGCTTTATGGCCTCATGTACACAGCAGGAGCCCTGGTTTTACAGTTCCACTGTTGGATTTGGGAACCGGGCACTGGCTGAAAAGGTCAGAGGGTGGCTCTTGCTATAGGCACAGGGTGCTGCCGGCCTTTGGAAAGCGGAGGAAAAGCCCTTCTCCTCGCCCCGCACACATTTCACTCCCACTCTACTGGGCTTCCAAGCTTGGCTTTGGCATTCAGGCCCCTATATTTTCTGTAGGAAAAATCGTTGAGAACACTTTTTTTATATAGGTAATTTTAAGACCATCATTACGCTGTGCGTAAAGAATGTACAGAGAAATTTGTAGGTATTTTTTGAAGAACATTAATTTGTTAATGATATGTAGCTATTTAATTTTTCCCTTTCCTATTGTAATCATTCATATTTTTTTGTTTGGAAAAAAAAGTTGATCTTTTTTTTGTCGTAGATTCGTCTGTAAAAGTGCAGGAACACAGTTATTCTATGAGAACACTGCATCTGCATTACTAGCCACTAGTTTGTTATTGCTACAGGCTACTGAGTGTCGTGACAGGAAAACATCCCACTGCTGACCGGCTCGGTGGAGGACACTCCTGGGACAGGTCTCTTTGTCAGTGAACAAGAGCGTCACTCGGGGGGGGGGGGGTCAGCGGTGCTGGCGGCTGGGTCCCTGGCGCACTGACCTATCTGGGATAGGCGGTACCCTGGAGGGGCCTCGGGCAGAGGGGGCAGCAGAAAACCAAACATTTCACTGAGAAAGAGCCCCTCCCTGCTCTAAGAAGGGGCTCCGTGAAGTTCTTCCAGAGCCGCGCCGTCTACCGTGCGCTCTGACCTTCTCTCCATGTGTGTAAATCTGTAATATACCATTCTCTGTGGCCTGTTTTTCCTGGAAGAAGAAAAAAAAAAGGTTTGGCAGGCCATCTTTTTTTGTACTTAAAAGTAGCCTTAAGAACAATAATAAAGTGCTCTTAAACTACATAGTGTACGTGTGGCTCTTCAACCCTGGAGTTTCAGCACTGGGCTGGGGGGGTGGACTCGGGCCCTGCACCTGTCCGGCTGTGTCCCCACGAAGCTCCCATGAGCTGAGTGACAGCCACTGGACCTTGGACTGGCTACTTCGGGAGAAGCCCTTATTTGAAATCTACTATACCAAATCCCACTATTTTAAGGGTCAGCCCAGACTCAATTTTGACTTTGGTTCTGGGCCTAAGATGAATGAAAGCTGAAAAAATAAAATAGCAGGAAGGGAGCCTCTGGCTCCTACACTGCTCCAGGGACGATGCCTTCTACATCATCTTAGAAGGGAGGGGTCTGCGGTCCCAGTACAACAGGGATGGGGCAGGGTGGGCAGAGGCACCTAGGCCTCCTCTGGATTTCCATACCCTGCTCTCTGGGCCTCACAGCTGCACACACCCAGAATAACGAGGAAAATATTATGGTAGAGCCATCTGACCCCTCCTCAGCTGGGGCAGGAAGGGAGCCCTGGCTCAGCCTTCTGGGCCTGTCATGCTCACAGGGGCAGGGATGGGAAGAGCTTCATCCAGGATCTATTCCTGGGCTCTTCCCCCAGCTCAAGGCAGCAGCAGAAACTCCTCTGCCTCAGGCAGGCAGGCACAGATTATATGCCCATAGCTGAGGACAGGCCGGGAGGCAGGAAAGCCTTGTCTGGGCGGCTCACTCCATCCGTGGTGGAGATCTGGGGTCACTGGGACGAGTGTGGCCCTTTAGTCCCGCACCCTGCTCAGCTCTCCTTCCCTTTCCCCTCCCCCAGGGCCAGGCTGCAGTGCAGTCACAGGGTCCCACCCTACCCATGCCCAGGGCCCCCACAGGAGGAGCCTGCAGTGGGGTTTGTGGCGCATGGGCAGAGCAGGTTGCTTACTTCCCCATTTGGTCTGTGTTGGGCCACCCCCTGGGGACCGAGGGATAAGGATCCTGGGGGCTTGGCTATCAAACACTGACAAGAAAAGAAAACTGCACGGAGGGACCAAGTCCCAGGTCAACAGCAAGGCCAAAGCCAAGGTTATTATTTAGCTCTGAACTGGCTGCATCGTGAATCCCAAGCAATGCTGAACACTGGCTGTTCCTGGGCAGTGGAGGGGGTCCCAGTCCTCAGGGTATGGAAAGGAGGAGACCGGAGAGATTGGAGGGGCCCAGGGCTCAGAATCACCAGGCCCAGGGTCAGCAGTCCTGCTCCGGTGACAGATGCTCCTCAGCAGGCCGCCGGGAGATGTCAGTCGCACACACAGGGCCGGCTCAGAAAGTCTCATCGTCGCTCATGTCCCAGATCTGCGTGAAGAAGGGGAGAGGCTCAGCTGAGCTGTCCCACCGCCCCATGGTGCACACTGATGCTTCAGAACCACAGCGGTCAGGGCAGCTACCATGTGCAGAACACTCCCTTGTGTCTGAGGGACTGTCACCCCATTTCTCTACAAGGAAACCAAATCTCAGAGAAGTTACTTCATTTGACCAAGGCCTCACTAGTGTGTAAACCACCTGGCAGAACCAACAGCGGAGGCTGGGGCAGGCTGGGATTTGCAGTGGCAATGTGCCTCTGCTCACCTCCTGCATGCACTTGGCAGCCCGTCCCTGACCCTGCCAGCCCCTGCTCACCCTGGCTTCTGCAGCACTCACCCCACCCCAAGCCAGCTTGTTCTCCTTGCAGTCCACCTGCCCTCTGGAAGGCAAACTCCCTGCAGGCAGGGATTTCTGGTGGGGGAACGTGCTGCCTTGGGAGGCTGCACCCTGGGCACCTGCTCTGCTTTCCCTCTAACTGTAGACCAGTTGCCCACACTGCCGACTCACGCTAGAGAGCTGGCTGATGCTCAAGAGTAAGCCCTCCCCACCAGCCAGGGTGGAGGTGGCCTGGAGCAGGGCAGTGGAGATAGCCAGAGCCTGCCATGGTCCCTCAACATTTGTCCTCTGAGCCTCGCTGTGAACCTGGGGAGCGGAAGGCCCCATTATGGCTGTGAGGAGAACTGAGGAACGCCCAGCAAGACCCCACCTCCATGGGCCCAGGCCCATTCACTCCCTGCAGTCCCTGGTGTGAACCCCCAAGGAGAGAGCCCAAGGCCAGCATAGCAGGTCCGAGGGCTCCTGGTACCCTGGGCTCCCTGGAGGGCCAGTCCCTGAACCTACGCCTTCAGACTTTCAAAATTCCTAGAATTGGTTGCAAAAGGCCACCTCAGTGCTAGCAGAGCTGAGAGAAGGAACAGTGTGTTTACACGAGGCTGGCCTGGGGAGACGGAGGCCTGGCCAAGGTAAATATCAACACCAGCTTGGCTTTCAAAGTCAAGGACGTGGAAAATAAATAGACGGAAATTTCCTCTCTTCTGAGGACCCAGCTCCCAGGCTGAGGGGCGGTGGGCAACCCTCTCACAGCCCCCGTCTCCCCTGAGGCCCAACTAAGCTCTTGGGAGGGGACTGTCAAGTCAGTCCAGATGCCCGCACAGCCAGGCTGTGGAAGGGCTGGTCTGGGGTCCAGCAGCCAAGTGTCCCTTTCTCTGGGTCAGGTCCCCACAGAGCTCATCCTCAGTGCGGCTGAAAACTCCCCTAGGGTGGGACTGAGCAGTGCAGGGCGGGGTGGCTGCATTTCTAACAGGTTATATTTAGGGTCAGCACCCTGATTTCTGGGTTCTGATGGTCTAAGTGGAAGAAACTGAGCCCCTGGAGGGTTTTTGCTAGCACAATCCATCCATTCTTCCACTCCCCCACTCCATGAACACACATTCATGGAGACTACTCTGTGCCATGTGCTATGTAGACCTGCTGTGAATACTCTCTTACTCCTCACATCTACCTGTGAGGTGCAGATGGAAACAAGCCCAGAGAGCTAAGGCAATTGGCCTGAGATCACACAGCAAGCAAGCTTCAGTGCTGGGAACAGGGCATGTGGAAAAGCGCTGGGTGGGCTACCTCAAGGAGGGGGCTGAGGTGGGGGATAATGGGACAAGATGGAGAATGAAAAGGGTGAGCCTTGTGGGCCGTGTCCTTGGGACCTCCAGCAGCCTCCTGGGGGGCTGCCAGCCTGAGCAGGGCAGTGTCAGTGCCAAACAGCAGCAGTACCCTCTGCAAATGGGTGGATGGGGTTGTTCATAAAAGGACTCGGGCCTGGGCGGGGGCTGGGCTTTTTAAGAAAGTAGGAACTTTCGGCCGGGCACGGTGGCTCAAGCCTGTTTGTAATCCCAGCACTGTGGGAGGCCGAGGCGGGTGGATCACGAGGCCAAGAGATCGAGACCATCCTGGTCAACATGGTGAAACCCCGTCTCTACTAAAAATACAAAAAATTAGCTGGGCATGGTGGTGTGTGCCTGTAATCCCAGCTACTCGGGAGGCTGAGGCAGGAGAATTGCCTGAACCCAGGAGGCGGAGGTTTGCGGTGAGCCGAGATCGCGCCATTGCACTCCAGCCTGGGTAACAAGAGCGAAACTCCGTCTCAAAAAAAAAAAAAAAAAGAAAAGAAAAGAAAAGAAAGTAGGAACTTTCAGGAGGCTTTATCCATTTTACCAGATTTTTAAGAGGCATAGGTGCTCGGCCACACTCGGACTGGGTGGCCTGGGACTGGCCCTGGAGGGTGCCTGGCTGACCCCTGGCTCCTGGATAGACTGAGGCACTGGAGGGGCTATTGCTGCTGGCAGTGCCCGAGCTGTGCGGGGGATCCTGTGAGACACCCAGAGGGCTTATTGTGACACAGTTCTACAGAGCGGGGAGCCGGGCAATGGATTTTACATAACCACTCGGGGATTTTCCAGAGTGAATCCTTCAGGCAGAGACGGGCTCTCCGCTGGCCTTGTCCCATTGGCTGGGCTCAGAGGGCAGCAGCTGTCTGCATTTGAAACCTCAGGAAACAACCTAGAACAAGGACTCCTGGGGATAGGGACAGGGACTGGAGTGGGACTGGATCTGCAGGCGCCCTACTGTGTCCTCACCAGAGCTGAGTCCTTGGCAGGCCACCTGGTGTGGGGAAGAGGAACAGTGAATGTCCTCTAAATGAATGAAAATTATAGTAAACTGGCAGATTAAAAAAAAACGTTAATATTCAGTGCTGACAAGGATATGGCTAAACACTGCCACAAGAAGAGTATGAATCGGTACTGTATTTACAAGATTTGGCAATACGTAATATAAACCTGTAAAAGCATTCAAACCTAAGGAAAAGACAAATGATCTTTTTGTAGGTAATATCCAAGTACACCTGGAAACCCCAATAAAATAAATGCTAAGATGAATACAAATGAAAAAGTATTGGGGTAAAAGCAAGATATAAAATTGACAACAACCAATTAAAACCAATAAGCAATTATAACCACATGCAGTACAAACAATATTTAGTTCAAAACAGAATGAAAGAGGCTGGGTGTGGTGGCTCATGCCTGTAATCCCAGCACTTTGGGAGGCTGAGGTGGGTGGATCACGTGAGCTCAGGAGTTCAAGACCAGCCTAGCCAACATAACAAAACCTCATCTCTATGAAAAATACAAAAATACAAAAAAACCCCACCACATTTCTACTAAAAATAGTTAGCTGGGTGTGGTGGTGGGCACCCGTAATCCCAGCTACTCAGGAGGCTGAGGAAGGAGAATGGCTGGAACCCAGGAGGTGGAGGTTGCAGTGAGCTGAGATCGTGCCACTACACTCCACCCTGGGTGACAGAGTGAGACTGTCTCAAAAAAACAAACAAACAAAATTGAAAGAGAAGAACCCATTATGCTGGCCAGACACAGTGGCTCAGCCTGTAACCCCAACACTTTAGGAGGTTGAGGGGAGTGGATTGTTTGAGGCCCGAAGTTTAAGACCAGCCTGGCCAATACAGCAAGACCCTGTCTCTATAAAAATAAAAAAATATATATTATAAAAGCAATGAAAAAGATAAACACATGGGACTAAACCTAACATCAGATGTACAGAATCCATATGAAACAGCTGCAACAGTCCTAGAAGAATCTCACCTGGGAAAGACGTAAACTGGAGTAGATACAGCCACACCCGTTGTTTTTGGCATTCGTAAAGATGTCAGTTTTCTCAAAGTGAATACATTAACAAAGTCTCAATTTTTAAAAATAAGCAAATGTTTTCTGGAGCCAGCTGAGCTGGTTCTAGGCTATGTGGAAAAGCAGGAAGCAGAGACACCCAGGAAACCCTCTGAACAAAAGAGCGGCAAGAAGCCCCCACCGTGGGCAGGAGGAGACGCCATGAAGCCCCCTAGAAAGTGAGTGCGTGAGCATGGGAACACTCGGATGGCCAGCAGGACACAGTGAGCGTAGAAACGAGAGAAGACTGTGTCCAAGAACATGTGGAAATACAAGATTTTAATGATGCAGGCCTGCGGAGTGCCATCTCAGCTCATTAGGAAAAGATAGACTTTTTCAATAAATGATATGAAAAGAAGTAGAGAGTCACTTGGAAGAAGAGAAAATTGATTCCATGCCTCACCCCACACATTAGAATCAACTCCAAATGGGATGAAGATTAAAATGTTAGAGAAAATAAAACCATAGAATACCAGATACAAACACGGGTGGGCTCATTATAGCCTGAGAGTAGAGAAGGCCTATGATCCCAAATCCATAAACAACAAAAAAATGGAAACAATGGATCTGCAAAAACTCATGCATGCAACGTGCATGGAAAAACACAGTCAAAAAGACACACAGCAACCTGGGAGAAAACGTCACAGCATACCACGAAGGGCTCATCTCAGTAACAGACAGCTCTTAGAGACCAAGAAGAGAGGCCAGGCACGCCTGTCATCTCAGCACTGTGGGTGGCTGAGGCGGGAGCATCACTTGAGCCCCGGAGTTCGAGACTAGCCTGGGAAACATAAGGAGACCCTTTCTCTACGATTTTTTTAGAATTACCCAGGTGTGGCGGCATGTGTCTGTAGTCCCAGCAACTCAGGAGATGGGAAGATGATGTGAGCTCGGGAGGCAGAGGCTGCAGTGAGCCGTGATTGCACCACTGCACTCCAGCCTAGACAACAGACAGTGAGACTGTCCAAAAAAAA